ATCAATTTGTTTAGATCAAGTAGAGTTTGCTTTATGAATCTGGGTGCACCTAAGTTGGGTGCATACATATTTAGAATTGTTATGTCTTCTTGTTGAACTGTACCCTTCACCATTACATAGTGACCCTCTCTGTCTTTTGTTACTTTTGTTGATTTAAGAACTAAGTTATCTAAGATCAAAACTGCCACACCAGCCTTCTTTTGGCTTCCATTTGCTTGAAATATTGATTTCTACCCCTTTACCTTGAGTCTAAATGCATCCTTGCAGGTTAGATGCATTTCCTGGAGACAGCAGTTGCTTGCCTTGTTTTTTTTTTTTTTTTTATCCATTCGGCCAGCCTATGTCTCTTGAGAGGGGAGCTCAAGCCATTCACATTTATCGAGAGAACTGATAAGTGGGGTGAACAGTAGTTCATTCTGTTGGGTTGCATTTTGTTGCTTTGTTTTCTCTCTTGAGCCATTGTGGAATCTAGCCTTTGATCTTTGAGTGGTTTTACATTCGTGAGTGTTTATTGTGCTGATCCTTGTGTAATTCTGTTTTGAGTACTTCTTGGAGAGCTGGTCTTGTCTTCGTGAATTCCCTCAGTCTTTGCTTATCTCAGAATGTCTTTATTTCTCCTTCATATATGAAACTTAGTTTTACAGGGTACAAGATTCTAGGCTGGGCATTATTCTGTTTCAGAAGAGTGAGAATGGGGCCCTAGTCTCTTCTTCCTTGTAGGGTTTTATTTGAGAAGTCTGGAGTTATTCTGATGGGCTTTGCTTTGTATGTTACTTGTTTGTTTCATCTTACAGCTCGCAGAAGGGCCTCTTTAGTGGATATTTTGGTCAATCTGATGACTGCAAGACGTGGTGTCTTCCTATTTGCATTGAATCTCCCTGGGGTCCATTGAGCTTCTTGTACCTGTGTATCTAGATTTTAGCAAGGCCTGGGAAATTCTCCTCTATTAATTCTTCAAATAGGTTATCCAGCCCTTGCGTGTTTTCTTCTTCACCTTCTGGACCCCTATCACCCTCAGGTTTGTTTTTTTCACATAATCCCACATTTCTTGTAAGCTTATTTCTTTTCTCTTAATTTTCTGCTCGATCTCTGTGACTGACTTTTTTAATTGGAAGGAGTTGTCTTCAATCTCTGAGATTCTTTCTTCTGTTTGATCTACCCTGTTCTTGAGGCTTTCCACTGTTGTTTTGTAGTTCCCTAAATAAGTCCTTCATTTCCAGGAGATTGGTTTGATTTTTCTTTAATATTTAAATTTCTTTAGTGAATTTTTCTTCCAAGTCCTGGATTTTTTGTGTGTGTGGTTTCTTTGTGTTGGTCATCCATTTTTTTCTTGCATATCATTGAGTTTTCTTACAATCCATGTTTGAAATTCTTCTTCTGTCATTTTAGTGTTATGAGTTTGGTTAATGGCAATTGCTAGAGAGCTGTTGTTCCTCTTTGGGGGTGTGCTTTCCGTTTTATTCTTCATAGTTCCAGAGTTCTTTCGCTGGTTCCTTCCCATCTGGATCAGTTGTTCCTTCTTGCCTTTAGATTTTCGTTTGGATAATGACATGCCCTGTTTAGTCTCTGAGCCAGTAGGTGGTATTTGTGGGTGATATTCAACCACACCCTTTATGAAGAATCAGTAGATGCAGTAAAAGGGTGTACATGATGACCGCCCTGTCGGTAGGTGCCACATGCTGGGAGGCGCAAGCTGCAGTGCTGTTTTTGAGTCCTGTAACCAGCTCTTGTTCCTCTGGAGAGGCCCTCTTGTGCCTCGGGTGGTGGGTGGGGCCCTGGGACTTCCAGATGTGTCCTTATTCTCCACCTCAGTGGGGGCAGGTCCAGGAGTGAGTCTGGGCGGGGCTGGGTTGGGTAAGCCTGCCCTCAAGTTCCACAAATGCTGTTAGCAGGGGTCAAAGGTCTGTTCTTTGCTTCTGTGCAAAGTTGCTGGGAGAGGCTGAAATGGCTCCACTCAGCTGAAAAGTCTGGGCTTGGGGAGTAGGGCTGTCTGAGACCTGCACTCTGGAGCAGGTCTTACTCCCCTCCAGCCTCCCCCACTCCGTGGCTTCTCCCAGGCCTCTGCCAGCAGGCAGGACCTCAGGCCAATGGATCTCCCCTGGCTGTGACATGGGCCGGGAGCTTCCCTGCCCAGGATCACAGCCTGAGCTGGGTGCACAGCCCTCTTTTGGGAGGAAGGTTGCTGCTCAGGCACGCTGATCTGCCCCTGAAGGCACACACTCCTCAGTAGGCTCTTTCACAGATATCCCTTCTGTGCCCCGGGGCAGTGCGATCATGGCCTGGGTGTACAGAGTCTGGTCTGCTGGCCTGTCCCCTGGACCCTGGAGATCAATTTCTGACCCTGCCAGGGAGAGGATGCTGGTCTCGA